GTCATGTGATGGTATTTGTCGTTCTCAGCTTTAAAATGGCCCTTTGTGTAAACTATAACCCCAAAGCTCAAGGTCAATGCCCACCAAACCCTTCCAGTATTTTTGGGTTGGCCATTGGTGTTCTGTGTGCCAAGTTTGGTTCAATTCCATCATTGGTGGAGTTCGGAATGCTCTTGGATTGTAGGTGAACTCTAAATCCCAGCAACTACAACTCCCAAATGACAAAATCATTTTTTTTTTTTTGAGTGAAGGACATACATTGGGTTGTTAGGCGTCTTGTATCCAAATTTGGTGTCAATCCGTCCAGTGGTTTTTGAGTTCTGTGAATACCACAAACGAACATTTCATTTTTATTTATATAGATGATGATGATTATTATTATTATTATTTTGTGATGTTACCTGGGATCCGCTCTGAGTCCCCTCGGGGAGATGGAGCGATATATAAATAAAGTTTTATTATTTTCTTCTTTTTTCTTTCTTTCCCATTTCTCCACAATGGGCCACAGCAACACGTGGCCGGGTACACCTAGTAAATCTATCTATATAAAAATGCTCTGTGCATAATGAGTACGTTAAAAACAAAAGAACCAATGAACGAAATCACACCAAATTTGGCAACAAAACATCTCACAACACAAGGAGTGACCATCACTCAAAAAATTATGATTTTGTCATTTGAGAGTTGTAGTTGCTGAGATTTATAGTTCACCTACAATCAAAGAGCATTCTGAACTCCATCAACAATGGAATTGAACCAAACTTGACACACAGGACTGCCATGACCAACAGAAATTACCGGAAGGGTTTGGTGGGCATTGACCTTGAGTTTGGGAGTTTTGGTTCACCTACATCCAGAGAGCATTGTGGACTCAAACAATGATGGAGCTGGACCAAACTTGGCACAAGCACTCATTACGCCCAAATATGAACACAGATGGAGTTTTGGGGAAATAGGCCTTGACATTTGGGAGTTGTAGTCACTGGGATTCACAGTTCACCTATAATCAAAGAGCATTCTGAACCCCATGAACGACAAAATCGGGGCAAACTTCCCACACAGAATCCCCATGACCAACAGAAATTACCGGAAGGGTTTGGTGGGCATTGACCTTGAGTTTGGGAGTTGTAGTTCACCTACATCCAGAGAGCACTGTGGACTCAAACAATGATGGATCTGGACCAAACTTGGCACAAGCACTCAATACGCCCAAATATGAACACAGATGGAGTTTGGGGAAAATAGACCTTGACATTTGGGAGTTGTAGTCACTGGGATTCACAGTTCACCTATAATCAAAGAGCATTCTGAACCCCATGACAGAATTGGGGCAAACTTCCCACACAGAACCCCCATGACCAACAGAAAATACTTAAGGCCATCCAATCCAACTCCCTTCATCAGGGCAAGAAAACGTAATTAAAGTCCTCCTGACAAAGAGCCATCCAGCCATAGATGATAGATAGATAGATAGATAGATAGATAGATAGATAGATAGATAGATAGATAGGGAGTTGTAGTTGCTGGGATTTATAGTTCACCTACAATCAAATAGCATGATAGACTTGAACCAACCGGGGCATACAGGACTCCCATAACCAACAGAAAACACCTACTTCTTATTTATTTATTTATTTATTTACTTTACTTTCCTTGTATACCGCAGTTTCTCAGCCTAACAGGCGACTCAACGCGGTTTACAACAAGGATAAGAATCAATCAACGATATACAATTTAAAACCATTAGAGCACAATATACAATATTGACACAACAATAGACAACACAATGCATCTCATAACTAGAGTCGTGATCCAAATTTCCATTCCTGTAATCATCACATTCATTGCACTGTTTAACCGAATGCCCGTTCAAACATCCAAGTTTTTAATCTTCTTCGGAACACCATTAGCGAGGGGGCTGATCTTACCTCCATAGGAAGGGCGTTCCACAGCCGGGGGGCCACCACAGAAAAGGCCCTGTCTCTCGTCCCCGCCAGCCGCACCTGGGAAGCAGGCGGGATAGAGAGCAGGGCCTCCCCAGAAGATCTTAGGGTCTTGGCGGGCTGATAGGCAGAGATACGTTCGGATAGGTAACTTGGGCCAGAACCGTTTAGGGCTTTATAGGCCAACGCCAGCACTTTGAATTGAGCCCGGTAGCAAATCGGCAGCCAGTGGAGCTGGTGCAGCAGAGGAGTTGTATGCTCCCTGCGCTCCGCTCCTGTTAGTATCATGGCTGCCGAGCGTTAGACTAGCTGGAGCTTCCGAGCCGTCTTCAAAGGCAACCCCACGTAGAGAGCGTTTGGTGAGCATTGACCTTGAATTTGGGAGTTGTAGTTCACCTACACCCAGAGACTACCATGGACTCAAACAATGATGGATCTGGACCAAACTTGGCACGAATATTCCATATGCCCAAATATGAACACAGATGGAGTTCGGGGGAAATAGACCTTGACATTTGGGAGTTGTAGTTACTGGGATTTATAGTTCACCTACAATCAAAGAATGTTCTGAACCCATCAATGACAGAATTGGGCCAACCTTCCCACGCAGAACCCCCATGACCAACAGAAAATACTCAAGGCTATCCAATCCAACTCCCTTCGCCAGGCAAGAAACGTAATCAAAGCCCTCCTGACAAAGAGCCATCCAGCCATAGATATAGATAGATAGATACTATATCTCTCTCAGAGAGATATAGTATCATAGATTTGAAAGGGACTCCTAAAGAATCATAGAATCAAAGAGTTGGAAGAGACCTCATGGGCCATCCAGTCCAACCCCCTGCCAAGAAGCAGGAATATTGCATTCAAATCACCCCTGACAGATGGCCATCCAGCCTCTGTTTAAAAGCTTCCAAAGAAGGAGCCTCCACCACACTCCGGGGCAGAGAGTTCCACTGCTGACCGGCTCTCACAGTCAGGAAGTTCTTCCTCACGTTCAGATGGAATCTCCTTTCTTGTAGTTTGAAGCCATTGTTCCACGTCCTAGTCTCCAGGGAAGCAGAAAACAAGCTTGCTCCCTCCTCCCTGTGGCTTCCTCTCACATATTTATACATGGCTATCATTGGTGGGGTTCAGAATGCTCTTTGATTGTAGCTGAACTATAAATCCCAGCAACAACTCCCAAATGTCAAGGTCTGTTTTCCCCAAACTCCACATTTGGGCATATGGAGTATTTCTGCCAAGTTTGGTCCATATCCATCATTGTTTGAGTCTACAGTGTTTGAGTCTACACCAGCATTGAAGTGATGGTCCTCCGCCATCAACTCCGCTGGACTGGCCACATTGTCCGGATGCCCGACCACCGTCTCCCAAAGCAGTTGCTCTACTCCGAACTCAAGAACAGGAAAAGGAATGTTGGAGGACAGGAAAAGAGATTTAAAGATGGGCTCAAAGCCAACCTTAAAAACTCTGGCATAGACACTGAGAACTGGGAAACCCTGGCCCTTGAGCACTCCAGCAGGAGGTCAGCTGTGACGAGCAGTGCTGCAGAATTTGAAGAGGCACGAATGGAGGGTGAAAGAAACGTGCCAAGAGGAAGGCGCGTCAAGCCAACCCCGACGACCGCCTTCCACCTGGAAACCAATGCCCTCACTGCGGAAGAAGATGCAGAGCAAGAATAGGGCTCCACAGCCACATACGGACCCACAAGAATAATGGAAGACAATCATCCTCGGAAAACGAGGGATCGCCTAAGTAAGTAAGTACCACAGTGCTCTCTGGATGTAGGTAAACTATAACCCCAAAGCTCAAGGTCAATGCCCACCAAACCCTTCCAGTATTTTTGGGTTGGCCATTGGTGTTCTGTGTGCCAAGTTTGGTTCAATTCCATCATTGGTGGAGTTCAGAATGCTCTTGATTGTAGGTGAACTATAAATCCCAGCAACTACAACTCCCAAATGACAAAATCATTTTTTTTTGAGTGAAGGACATACATTGGATTGTTAGGCGTCTTGTGTCCAAATTTGGTGTCAATTCGTCCAGTGGTTTTTGAGTTAATCCCACAAACGAACATTACATTTTTATTTATATAGATATTTACTATTTATTTATTTATTTTTTGCATTTGTTAACCGCCACTCTCAGCCCGAAGGCGACTCGTGGCGGTGTACAGAACACAGAACATGAAGACAACAATTACAGTAAATCAGGATCATAACACACATCTTACTAACACACAGCTAATTAAACTAAAAATCCGCTTCGTCTTGTTAGGGTCATAATCAGTCTCGTCGTCTTAGTCCATTCCGGTGGTCATTCCAAAACATAGCACTTAATCGAAGGCCTTTTCGAAGAGCCAGGTCTTCAGGCCCTTACGGAAGGCCATGAGGGAGGGCGCCTGTCTAATTTCAGCAGGGAGGGAGTTCCACAGCCGGGGGGCCACCACCGAGAAGGCCCGCTCTCTAGTCCCCGCCAAGCGTGCCTGTGAGGCAGGCGGGACCGAGAGAAGGGCCTCCCCGGATGATCTCAAGGTCCTCGTGGGCTGATAGGCCGAGATGCGGTACTCAAGGTATTTTGGGCCGGAACCGTTTAGGGCTTTGTAGGTTAGCACCAGCACCTTGAATTGGGCCCGGTAGCTAATCGGCAGCCAGTGGAGCTGGGACAGCAAGGGCGTTGTGCGCTCCCTGCGTCCCGCTCCGGTTAGCAACATGGCTGCCGCGCGCTGGACTAGCTGGATGATGATTATTATTTTGTGATGTTACCTGGGATCCGCTCTGAGTCCCCTCGGGGAGATGGAGCGATATATAAATAAAGTTTTATTACTTTATTATTATTATTCTTTCTTTCCCATTTCTCCACAATGGGCCACAGCAACGCGTGGCCAGGTACAGCTAGTAAATACATCAATATACAGCAGAGCCTGGGCTTCCACTGACTGGAAGGAGGAGGAGCCAAGCTTATTGCGCGCGCACTTCTCTCCCTCTCTCTCTCTCTCTCCCCCCCCCCCCCCCAATGTTGTTTGCTCGCAGCGAAGGCGACCGGAAGCCGCGCCAAGGCGGCGAGGGAGTGAGTGACGCGGCGGATCCGGAAGGGGCGGGCTTCCCCGTGTGGATGGCCGAGGCTGCCGCGGCCTCCCTGGATGACTTGAGTCTGCGGGACGTTGCGTGAGTAGCCTTTCGCCTTCTCCGCCTGGGAAAACGAGGCCCGGCCTGAGGGAAAAGGGCAAAGAGGCTGGTCTCCAATACGGGGAGCGAGGGACGGGCGACGCGGGAGGCAGGCCTGGGCCCGGGCTGTGGCGCAGCGAGGCCAAACCGGGTCAAGCGGGGCTGTGCGGGGAGAGGAAGGCGGAAAACGCCAGGAAAAGCGGGAGAGGGAGGGATTTGGTCGACGCCTCGCCGCTTGACCAGGCCAGGCTTCCTCAGTAGGCCCTCCCTCGCTTAGGCCGGCTTCAAGACGAGCCGGACTTCCTTCTCCCTGCCTTTGCCCGCCCTGCCCTTTGGCTGAGGCCTTGCTTAGAACCAGCCTCCCTTCGCCACCCTCTTCCTCCTTGGCATTGTTTACGGGATATTCTATTTCACCTTCCTTCTCCACCGTGATGGGCCTCTAATGGCACACACGTTGTGAACATAGCCCTTGTTCTTGACCTGAGGAGTGTTCTGTGTCAGTGTGGCCTGTGTTGCCATCCCGCCCTATATCCCAGAATATCAAGGCAGGAAATCCCCCAATATCTTCTTTGAACTGGGTTATATGGCAGTGTGGATTCAGATAGCCCAGGGGACCTTCCACACAGCCATATAACCCAAAATATCAAGGCAGAAAATCCCCCAACATCTTTGAACTGGGTTATGTGGCAGTGTGGATTCAGATAGCCCAGGGGACCCTTCCACACAGCCATATACACCCAAAATATCAAGGCAGAAAATCCCCCAGTATCTGCTTTGAACAGGGTTGTATGGCAGTGTGGATTCAGATAGCCCAGGGGACCTTTCCACACAGCTATATAACCCAAAATATCAAGGCAGAAATTCCCCCAATATCCGCTTTAAACTGGGTTATATGGTAGTGTGGACTCACATAATCCAGGGTCCATCCAGCCAGCCATATAACCCAGAATAGCGAGGCAGAAAATCCCCCAGTATCTTCTTTGAACTGGGTTATATGGCAGTGTGGATTCAGATAACCCAGGGGACCTTCCACACAGCCATATAACCCAAAATACCAAAGCAGAAAATCCCTAAATGTCTGCTTTGAACTGGGTTATATGGCAGTGTTGATTCACATAACCCAGGGCCCATCCAACCAGCCATATCACCCAGAATATCAAGGCAGAAAATCCCCCAATATCTGCTTTGAACTGGGTTATATGGCAGTGTGGACTCACATAACCCAGGGCCCATCCATCCAGCCATATAACCCAAAATATCCACCCAAAAAATCCCCCAATATCTGCTTTAAACTCTGATATGTGGCAGTGTGGACTTAGATAACTCAGGACCCTGGGGACCCTTCCACACAGCCATATAACCCAGAATATCAAGGCTGAAATTTCCCCCAATATCTGCTTTAAACTGGATTATGTGGCAGTGTGGACTTAGATAACCCAGGACCCTGGGGACCCTTCCACACAGGCATATAACCCAAAATACCAAAGCAAAAATCTCCCAATATCTGCTTTAAACTGGGTTATATGTCAGTGTGGACTGACATAACACAGGGCCCATCTACCCAGGCATATAACCCAGAATATCAAGGCTGAAAATCTCCCAATATCTGCTTTAATCTGGGTTATATGACAGTGTGGACTCACATAACCCAGGGCCCATCCATCCAGCCGTATAACCCAGAATATCAAGGCTGAAAATCCCCCAATATCTGCTTTGAACTGGGTTATATGGCATTGTGGACTCACATAACCCAGGGCCCATCCATCCAACCATATAACCCAAAATATCAAAGGAGAAAATCCCCCAATATCTGCTTTAAACTGGGTTATGTGGTAGTGTGAACTTAGATAACCCAGGACCCTAGGGATCCTTCCACACAGCCATATAACCCAAAATACCAAGGCAGAAATTTCCCCAATATCTGCTTTAAACTGGGTTATGTGGCAGTGTGGACTTAGATAAGTCCTTAAGGTATGACCTCAAGGGAATTGATCCTATAACTGTGGCCCCTTCTACACTGCCATATAACACCCATATTGTCTGCTTTGAACTGGATTCTGTGGGCTCTTCCAGAAAGGCCCTATATCCCAGATTCCAGATTTTCCACTTTAAACTGGATTATATGGGTCTGCACTGCCAGATAATTTGGGATAAACAGAAAAACTGGGATCAGATCTTGGGATATCTGGAAGGTCCCTGAGGCAAAGTTTATTTATTTATTTATTTATTTATTTATTTACCTTACTTATATACTGCTGTTCTCAGCCCGAAGGCGACTCACAGCAGTTCACAACAAATACGAACAGCAAAAATTCAGTGCTACAGTATAAAAACAGTTAACAACCTAACACATTACACAATTAATAAACAGTTACTACAATACCCATCCACTGTCATCTCATCATCAAAAAAAAAGTTGATTCATATAATCCAGTTCAAAGCAGAAAATGTGGTTTGTCAGCTTTGATATAATCTGGATTGTATAGTTGTGTAGAAGGAGCCTGTGTTACATTACAAATGCCCCTTCCACACAGCTATATAAAATCCACATTGAACTGGGTTATATGACAGTGTGGACTAGGCCTTTCCTCACAGCCATGTAATCCAGAATATCATGCAGATAATTCACAATATCTGCTTGAACTGGGATATCTGAGTCCACACTGCCATATAACGCAGGGCCCTTTATCTTTTTCCAGGGATCCGATCCCAGATTATCTGCTTTAAACTGGAATATATGAATCCTGACTGTCAAATAACCTGGGATAAACAGATAATCTGGGATAAGATCCTAGGATAAAAGGGCATTGTCGAAGGGCCCCCAGTTCAAAGCAGATAATGTCAGATTTTATATATCTGTGTGGAAGGACCTCAGATAATCCATTTCAAAGCAGATATTGCTGATTATCTGCCTTGATATCCTGTGTTATATGGCTATGTGGAAGGGCCCAAAATTCTCTTAACTGTTTTTCTCAGAGGGGAAAACATTTCTTCCCCAGTTTTAAACAACAGTTTAATCGGTGTTGGTGGTGGTCTATGGGTGGAATATCTGAAGTATTTATTCAGAAGAATGTTGTGTAGTGCACAAAGATGTGATTTTCTGTGTGTTGTGTAGTGCACAAAAAAGCGATTTTCTGTTTGCCTCCCCATTAGACTTCCGCACTGCTGTATAAAATTCTCATTGAACCGCATTATATGGCAGTGTGGACTTGGATAATCCAGTTCAAAGAAGATATTGTGGATTATCTGTCTTGGTATTCTGGATTATATGGCTGTGTGGAAGGGCCCTTTGACTCCAGTAATGAATTTCATTTAATTCCACTCCTTCATTGTTTCCAGCTCAACTTCCTATTGCTTTCATCAAATCACTGAACTAAGTTTTGCCTTTAATAGGATAAAATGCACTATTGGTATCAGCCTTAATAAACGTTGTACTGCTTTCTTATTTGAGAAAATTTTACTATCAATTAAGTCCCCTTTTATGCTGTCCTTATATCATATGATCTGATCCCAGGTTATCTGATTTGAACTAGATTACATGAGTCCCCACTCCCATATAATCTGAGATAAGAAGATAATCTGGGATCAGATTCTGGGATATAGGACCTTGTCGAATGGGCCTAAGACTCTTTCCAGATGATCATGTTAGTGTTGCTTTACAAATGGCACCTTGTGGCATCTTAAAGCAGGCTTACACAACCCCTCCCGGTTTTGACCATTGGACAAGCTGGCTAGGGCTTCTGGGAGTTGGAATCCTGATGGGCTACAGGTTGTGCAGGCCTGCCTTAAATAGTAAAAAAAATAGTATCAGTGTTATTTTTCCTAAGTTGGACTTGCTTCATCAGATACTGTTTTTAATTTGTAGATATTTTAATCAAGAGAGGCTAGTAAATAGGTTATGTATACTTTTCTCTTTTAAAGCAGTTTACATACTCTATCTTTGGTGCATTCATGTTTTAGTACACGGTCCTAAAATGTAATGGGATGTGCAATTAATAAAGCAAAATTAACTAGAACATGTGGTATGTATTTCTATTAGGTAGTGTGAGAAGAATTGCAAAGTTAATATTAGGGTCCCACCTTCACCAAAAGCTTGAACCAGCATGCTTCAATCAGTAGAGTAAATGAGGCTGTTGTCTGCCATCTACAAAATCTTATTTCTCGGATTTTATTGCATATTAATTTTTAGTAGATTTACAAAAGAGATGTGACTATTTTTTAAAATCTGAAATGAATTCTTGCCATCAAAGTTATGTATCTATTATTTGAGACGTGGTCCTCAAAAGTAGATTACAGCATAGTCCCCATATTCATAGGTAATATGTATAGCAAGAACTATTGAAATGAACTAATTCTGGCACAAACATGCAATGGAATCATGGTGGAGGACATAGAAAATGTCTAATGGGCATATTTTGTCAAGATGTGGATAAATTAAACCACAAGTGTGGACCGTCATACTGTATTTACAATGAAGTTGATATCTTTCCCTCATTTATGTCCCTTTTCTGTTGTGTTGGTTTTCATTCTTAAAGTAGTCTAGAATATACTCTTCCTGATTATTTTTATTTGCATCACCCATTTCATTTTCATGACCATTGACTTTGGTCAACAGTCTAGCATTTTCATTTATCAATTCCACATTCTTCTTATTTTAGTTTGAAGAAGTTGGATGAACTTTGAGCATAACTTTGTAAATAATGAAAAATATAAAAGAAGATACTATCAGGGGTTAATGTGATTTGGAAAACTGGTAGAGCCTTTAAAAGTTATTAAGTATTCTTTAAGTATACTGTCATAATGAAAGAGTGTGAGTTTTGAGTCAGTGTATTGAGGAAGAGATTTGCCAGACAACAGTCACAAATTAGTTTAATAAAACTGGTGAGAAAGTTTGAGGTGCTATGTTCTTTATGTTCAGATCAGAATATTTTTAAACAAAGTATATACAAGTAATATGTTTCCAGTTTGTTTTTTTTTCTCCTGTTATTTATTATTTATTT